AAGCGGCGAGACGGAAGAAGACTATACCTGGGCACTCGAGCGGTTAAAGACATTATACGAGCAGTGTGGCGGAGTCTTCCCATCTGTCATTTTGACAGACCGTTGCCTAGCAGTCATGAACGCGGCTTCGACTCTCTTTCCATCGATAACATCTCTTTGTGTTTGGCATGCAAACAAGGCAGTCCTCGCACGATGTCAGCCTGTTTTCCAGACACCTGAGGAATGGGGAGAGTTCTATGCTTTTTGGTTCAGGGTTCTTGGCTCGCCGACTGAAGAGGTGTATAAGGAGCGCCTCAAGGAGTTTGAGAAGAGGTATACCGCAACAAACCTTGAGCAGGTTGGCTATATTAAGGAGACGTGGCTTCTGCCATACAAGGAGAAGCTTGTTGCTGCATGGGTCGACCAGCAAGCTCATTTTGGGAACACAGCTACCTCCCGTGTTGAAGGGATTCACGCGCTCCTCAAGTCGTACCTCCTGAGGTCGACATTCGACCTCTTCGAAGCGTGGAAGGCAATTCGGCTTGCATTGAACAACCAGCTCTCCGAGTTGCGGTCGAACCAAGCAAAGCAGCAGATTCGTACGCCTCTTGAGCTTGACAAGGCAATGTACAGAGCTGTACAAGGCTGGGTCTCGCACGAAGCGCTGCGGAAGGTCGAGGAGCAAAGGCAGTTGCAATGGAAAGACCCCTCTCCATCGTCAACTTGCACAGGCATATTCACACGTGTCTATGGGCTCCCATGTATACACGTCCTGACTGTACGCGAAGGCGAGCCTCTTCGTCTTGAAGACTTTCACTCGCACTGGCGCTTAATACGTGACGGGGCTCCACTTCACCTTTTAGAGCCTCGCCGTATAGAGCCAAGAGCGACGAAAAGCACTCTCCCAGTGTCAAGTACGACGCGTGAGCCCAGTGAATTCGAGGTTGTTGAGGCAACGCAGGCGACACGGACTAAGCGCCCAAGTCAGTGTACAGCGTGTGGTGGAATTGGCCATAGAAGGACCTCCAAAGCGTGCCCGCAACGCTATTCAGATATCGTACAAATTGATTAAATTGGCGTTGCTTTGGTGATAGTTTTGGTTATGGTGTTGAGAGTGTCTTGGTGGTGCGGGGCAATG